GATTAAAACGCAGGAGGCGGGGTGAGGAGGAGGAGAGAAAAAAAAATAGGAAGGACTTGAATACCAGCTGCGACTATTCCGGATTACCCACTCGCTGAAAAAGGGAAAACAAGCGACGCACCGCGGACATTTCTCAGTCCGGAGAGGATGAGCTGACCCGACAGGAAACGTAGTGCTTTAAGTTGGATTGCGCTCCACCACGCCGGGATGTTTATGTGTTTTTATGTTGCTTTAAGTTCACAGTCGATGCCTGTTTGAAAAGCGGTGTTTGCAGGAGCTGACTGTCGGTGTTAGAAGTGATTCGGTGCACAGGATACCGACGCGGAGCAGAGCAGCTGATTGTGCCGATGCCCACGGCAGACTGCAGGTTACTCCATCATGGCCGGATCATGAGGTGTTTGACTTATCTGCTCCTACTTCCAGAAACACTGAAAAAGTCCAAGAAGGTCGGCAAGCTCCCGGGCAGGCTGCCGGTATGTTATGAGATCCTGTCCCTGACGAGAAGCAAGAAGCAGCAGCAGGAACAGGAACAGAAGGAGAAGATGGCTGCGGAGTTGTACCCCTCCAACACCAACAACACCAATCTGTCCAGCGGCACCACGGTGGCGGACACCGAGAAGACCAAGGAGGTGCAGGTGAGCCAGGCCAGCTGCAGCAGCAGCAGCAGCAGCGCGGCGACCACCCCGACCACCCAGCAAAACATCAACAACAACAACATAGATCCACCCAGCTGGCAGTGCAGCCACCCCACACTGAGAGAGAGGTAAGAACCACCGAGCAGGATGTGACACAAACCTGCCACAACATGTCAAAACTGCATCAAGTGTGTGTGAGAAAGTGAACAAAAAGTAAAGATAGTGAAGTTCCCTTTATGCTGTTATAGGACATTACTAATAAAAAGGTATAAAAAGCATGCATCAAGTGCAGGAAGGTCACTCTACTGCTCTGTGTAGTTTTCTGAAGGACACTACTCCTCACCCTAACACTAAAAAATGCATAATTTAATACATTTTAAGTTGCATTTTTGCAAGTTTTAATCCGTAAATATGTTGATAAATAAATAAATATAAGTAAAGTAATTCAAAACTAAACTTAAAAGTGGCATTTCGGTTTTTAACAAACTATTCCAGCAGCTACATGCGGAGTTACTGAGGCTTTCATATTTAAATGAGCACAGTAGTGTAACTCAGGTTGCATGCTAGGACCTGCAGCAATTTCCATAACTTATAAATAATGTTAATATAGTCTTCCTTATTAAAAATGTGTTTTTGTTGGAGTTTTGTTTCAGTAAACTGGATTACATTTTTGTTAAGCCTTGTTTATACCAGATGAAGACCTGACTGAATGTCCACATTGGTGTTTGAAAAGTGTGATTTTGTGATTTCTCACAGTCTAAAAGTGCTTACTTTAGGACAAAGTGGGTATAGATTCCTCCTAAAGGAAAATAAATGTGAGTTTCTGCCCTACAACTACTCCTACCTCCTCCCCAAACCTATGAAAATAACCAGTGTCTCTAGGCAAAAAGAGTGTGGGAGGACTTGATGTTACACAATACTTGATTGAGGCTTATTGGTGAAAACCTGCTCTGCTTTTTAGGAACGCATTGATGTTCAACAATGAGCTCATGGCTGACGTCCACTTCATCGTCGGCCCCTTGGGGGGGTCGCAGAAGGTTCCAGCACACAAGGTAAAAAAAAATATATATATTTCACCTCGTTTGAATTTTCAAGATTTCTTTCCACAAGTGAAAAAGAAACAACGGGATCATAGAGATTGAAATGTTTGTTGGATAAATAAGAGAGAGGTGTTGGAGCTACTGAAAAAAGGACTACTGCTGCTGCTCCTTTCTTGAACTAAGCAAAGAAGAGTGATTCTGTTTGCATGTGTGTGTGACGCATCTGTCTGCTCCTCCCTCTCTCTCTCTCTCTCTCTCTCTCTCTCTTAGTATGTGCTGGCCGTGGGAAGCTCCGTCTTCTGTGCAATGTTTTATGGTGATCTGGCGGAGGAGGAGTCTGAGATCCATATCCCAGATGTGGAACCTGCTGCTTTTCTAATTCTGCTGAAGTAAGCCACTCGCCATCCCTCTCACACACACACACACAGGCCAACCAGAAGGAGAGATGACAAGCGCAGTCAGTGTCACTTCAAAGCATATTATTACTCATCCAACGCTAAGCAGAGGCGAATGCCAAAATGCTCGGAGCGCCAGAGAGCAGTGGCAGCAGCACACTGCTCTGTAATTGCTGGTTTTTCTCAGAGCTCTTTGTCCAACTACAAACATTTTTTCTCCCTTTTTACTCATCCACAGCTCCGATCATTTTCTTGGAGGGGAACATATGCTGACTAGCGGTTATAAATAACCGGCCTTTGTTGCTTATTCAGTGGCACAGCTAAGCCAGCACCGAACACTCTTTAAGTGTGAGGCCTTTTGAGAAAAGTGTAGGATGTGTTCAGTCTTCTTACAATCCAAAAGCTGATTTTATTTTTTTTGGACATTTAGTTAAAGTGAGAAAGATCAAAGAAGAAAAGAGCACCAGTGTTTCTCACGCTGTGTCGAGTCAAGCAGCATGATATCAAAGAAATAGTTTAACTAGCAAAAAGTTGGATTTCTGTTCATGAACAGCTGCTTAAAGGTCGTTTTCCATCTCGCAGGTATATGTACAGCGATGAGATCGACCTGGAGGCGGACACGGTGCTGGCCACCCTGTATGCTGCCAAGAAGTACATTGTTCCTGCACTGGCCAAGGCGTGCGTCACCTTCCTGGAAACGAGCCTGGAGGCGAAGAACGCCTGCGTGCTGCTGTCCCAGAGCCGCCTGTTCGAGGAGCCCGAGCTGACGCAGCGCTGCTGGGAGGTGATCGACGCTCAGGCCGAGCTGGCGCTGTGCTCCGAGGGCTTCTGCGAGATCGACCTGCAGACGCTGGAGATCATCCTGCGGCGGGAGACGCTCAACACCAAAGAGGTGGTGGTGTTCGAGGCCGTCATGAACTGGGCCACGGCGGAGTGCAAGAGGCAGTGTTTGGGTCCGACGACCCGCAACAAACGAGAAGTCCTCGGCAAGGCGCTGTTCTTGGTGCGCATCCCCTCCATGAGCCTGGAGGAGTTCGCAGACGGAGCGGCGCAATGCGACATCCTTACACTGGAGGAGACGCACAACGTGTTCCTGTGGTACACCGCGGCTAAAAAACCCGAACTGGACTTCCCTTCGACCGCGCGGCAGGGCCTGTCGCCTCAGAGGTGCCACCGCTTTCAGTCCTCGGCCTACCGGAGCAATCAGTGGCGCTACCGGGGCCGGTGCGACAGCATCCAGTTGCGGTGGACAAGCGGATCTTTATCGCCGGTCTGGGGCTGTACGGGTCGAGCGGGGGCAAAGCCGAGTACAGCGTCAAAATCGAACTGAAGAGACAGGGGGTGACCTTGGCGCAGAACCTGACAAAGTTTGTGTCGGACGGCTCGAGCAGCACGTTTCCCGTGTGGTTCGAGCACCCCGTTCAGGTGGAGCAGGACGCCTTCTACACGGTGAGCGCCGTGCTGGACGGGAACGAGCTGAGCTATTTTGGTCAGGAGGGCATGACGGAGGTGCAGTGTGGGAAGGTGACATTTCAATTCCAGTGCTCCTCCGACAGCACCAACGGGACCGGAGTACAGGGAGGACAGATCCCCGAGCTTGTGTTCTATGCATAAGCTCTCGGACTGCCGGTGGAAAATGATCCTCGCCCTCCCAGCCTTCAAAGTAATGTAGCATTAAAGACACTTGACTAATGTCACACTAAATGGCCTGGTTAGTTCTTTGAGAGACTATTTTCAAAGCCAAGGAGCTGTTCTTTTATCTTATTTAATTTAATGTTATTTTTCTTATTTAAATTCTCGGTTTAACGTTATTTGCTCTGATGCCTGTGTTCAAAGGCTGCGGCTGCTGTAGAAACAACATAATACGCTGATTTGTGGTTATGTAATCAAAGCTGAGCTCCACAACTGGAATAAGTAGGGACTGCTTCAAAAATTGTGTAATTGCAAGTCTATATACGATGTTGTTGCTAGAGTCGGAGCAGCAGAATTAGACGAGGAGCAGAATTTATGTAGTGTTATGATTCTAAATGCAAAAAAAAAGTAGAATATCTTGTCGTTTTGCACTTCAGAGGATGGCCTCAGAAACATTGTGTCTTTTTGTAAAAATACAATTTAACTGTTAGCAGCTTGATGCTGTTAAAGATGACCAGATGTGTTCTGTACAAGAATGCTTATACACCTGATGATGAAACATAAAAAGGTTATAATGTGAATCGAGTCGCACATGTCACATCATTGAGGGGCCTGGGTGAGGGGAGTGAGGGGATTGGAGGGCCTGCAGCGCCCTCTGGTTACTCCAGTGTGAACTACACCACGGCTGGATGGGAACAAGACGTTCTTGCAGCCTCAGGTGGATTACTTAAAGGTTGTCATGTACAGTGAGGGGGGTGGGGGGCCTCGAGGCGTCAGGTCGGCCCTGAAGCAGGATTCTTTTTAAAAAATGAATTAGTTGTTTTTTGTTGGAAAATCAAAGAAAAACAGAGATCCTGCTTAGTGTTTGTTTGTTTTATACTCCTGACCCGAGGGACACAAACTGATCTGATAGTTCCTTTAAATAAAGAGCAGAACCTGCATCACAGGGCCCTTCAACATTTAGTCCTGGGAAGTGGGAACTACAGTATTTTGGTTGTTGATACATGGATACGAGTGGGTGTGATTCTGCTGCATCAGAGAGTTCCCTCTTTATCTCAATCAACATTTCTCTTTGACGTTACAGAACATTAAAGAAGTCCAAGATTTAATCCCAAGAGTCATTTTAAGCCATTTATAAAGCAAATATGGAGGAAAAATCTCTGGTCTAGATCAGAAAAATAATATTTGGTGCTTTATAGAGTTCAAGTCCATTTAAATTGAGTATTTTTGTCTTTTTTTTTTTACTTTAAAGATTTCAGCATGAACTCTGTAAAATGTGGTTCACATTTTATTCTATATTTCCTGGCAATAGAAAGACTTAATGGTTACTAAGATAGATTTCTATTTGACATGGACATCACAATCACACTGGACGGACCGGGTGTATTGTTTGAAGGTTTTAGCACACATGCTAATTCTCAACACGGGTCTGCAGGAGGGTCAAACAAAAAGTCCTGCAATGAGAATCTAAAGAGAAAAAGGTAAAGACACTGCGTACCTATTGCAGGAGCATTGATGCAGAGTTCTCTGGCCAGTACGAGGAAGGTTTTTCCCAACACGTAGACGTTCACCTGTGGAGGGGAGCAGTGGTCATGAACAACAAAGATTTTTACAAAACAAGTGTTTACCTGCAAAAAGAAAAAACCTTGTGGTACTCCTAAAGTCAAATTTTCTAACTGGATTTAGTTTTATACCGAAGTGAGAGTGATGACTTCTTGAGACATTCAAAGCCACTTATAGAATTAAAGCCTGAGGATCAGTGAATTAAAAAAAGAGAGAGGGGGGAGGTGGGGTGGAGAACGGAGGATGACTGGTGTGTTTGAGAGAGAAACACACGATTAGGAGATGAAATAAGGCTGTTATGTCATCGTCAGGTTGAGTGCTCTTGGTTGCATAATGGACATGAAGGTTGCGGAACATTTCACCTCAATATGTGTGATTAAACGCCGAGCTCGGAGCTATTTCAAAGATGCTTTTTTTCTCACTCTCTCTCTCTCTCTCTCTCTCTCTGTCTGTCTATTAATTTCTCATCACAAATCTCTGCCGCTCAGTCATCCTTACTCAAAGCTTCTTCTTGCATCAGAAGGATTTCCTGTATCTAAATTACAGATCTGACCAATCCTGCATGGTTATTTCTTCCAAGATGACATTTTAACTCTTCACAAGAGGAGGTGCAGGACTGGATTTCTGCTCAACAATTTCTATTATCAAGTCAAGGGCGACCCTTTTACAAGTTCTTTCAAGGGGGTTTCTCCAAAAGACTTCAGCAGAAAAAAAAAAGAGTTCAGTAAAAAGAAATGAGGTCACCTTTTTATCGGCTGAGATTTGAGATGTAAAAATATTTACTTGAGCAACAGAAACAACTAAAAAAACGGGTCAACCTCTGGATAAATGACTCTGCCTTAGAAACAATCTTGTGGTTTACAGAACTCTAAACTTTGATATGACACTGGCACCAATTGAATGATGTGAGCTGTTTTAACACCACAGCAACAAAAATAGAGATAGATAAGCACCCAACATCGGCCAATTTCTCATTTTTGATCAGAAAACTTTGCACACAAACTCTGACTTGTGGCCTAAATTTCACAAATACGCTGGCAACGACAACTCATTTTGCAATTTCAACGTTACTCTCTCTCTCTCACGCTGCAGCGTCAGTGTCAAAAACATGACTGAAGATGTGACGAGATCTTGAGAAAACATACAGAAATGTCTCGTTCTCTCAGGAAAACAAGAGTAACACAGAAGGTATGGATGTATGTCCTCGGATAGCTTCTGTACTTTTAGGGTGTGAAAAACGATTATTCATCATCATCTCTGCCTCCAGACAGCAAGTGATCAAATTTAAGATGCTTAAAAGTTCAAATTTAGACTTTCTGATACCTTCTGATTTTCTGGGTGATTCACTTTTATCGACTGATTTGTTTCAGACGTCAGAGATTTGTTGCATGCTTATTTTCCTCTAAAAAAGGGTTTTACCTGCATTACCTCATTCATACAACACGACCAAGCTTCAAATTGATCAATTGGGTAAACAAGCTTCTAATGAGGTGGTCTCTCGTGTAGATAAACTTGTCTTCTCTGTCGGGTGATGGAGGGAAAGCAGGACGGGCGGACGGTGGAAGAGGGCGAGTGTGTCAGCAGGGTTATCACAGTGGCCCCTCCCGTCACAGATGTTTCATTGTTTTTAACACACAACACCTCCAGAAGGCTCAGCAGTAAATTCTGGGACCCCTCTGACCCACCTCCCCCCGCCGCCTCCCTACACTATCTGAAAGGATCTGATGCTGAATAACAAAGCCTCTGGACTGCACATCTATCACTTTCTCTGTGAATTATCTGCATTACAGCCCAGAATCTAGTTTTCAGTGGGGGTCCCGTCTGAAAGCTGCAGCAGACGGCAGTGAAAGCTGCAGGACGGGGTCGTGAACTCGGGTCAGATCTCTGTCATTCCTCCAGACAAATTTCTCTGGACCTGCGAGCGCTGAGGGGGCTGAGGGGGTAAGTCAGGGGGAGTTTTGGGAGCAGACAGACGGACTCTCGCTCTCAGCCCCCTCTGGAGTCGGACGGGGACGCAGATGCTCCCTCTGCTATTCTTGGAAGTGGATTGCAGCAAGGAATTTGTACACAACAGTAAAAATGGGGGCAGAGGAGAAAGTGGATTGAGAAAGAACGTTTACAGGAAGCTGATAAGTCATGATTGTTGGTCTTAATGCGGGAACAAAATACGTTATGTTTTAACTGCACCAATCAATATTTACCTATTAGCCGTGGATCAAACTATTACTCATGATAGACCCAAAACATAACTCTCATCCCTCCACTTTATGGAGCCATGTAGCATCTTGCAGCTCACCAGTTTGGTTTCCAGATGATACAAGTGCCACTTTAAATCACAAGGCTGTAAATGACACATCCAAGAAATGCATTCTGTTATTGGCTACATGTTGGCACAGACCTGATCCTCGTCCTTTACTGACACAAGCCAACATTTCAAAAAGGTGATATTGAACCAAATGTACAGATGTAAACAAACTATCGGTCCTGGGGGGGGACAGGGCCTTCTCAAACGCTGCTCCCACCCACTGGAACTCACTCCCAAAAAACATTCAAGACTCCCCCTCACTCACTTCCTTCAAGAAATCTCTAAAAACTCATCTCTTCAACATTTTCAACAACCTTACATTACTTCTTTGTTGTACTCTCCTAGTTGTTTTTTCCTTGTCAAAGCGTCTTTCTAGAGTTTCTAGAAAAGGGCTATATGAGACCAATATATTATTATTATTATTATTATTATTAAGGGTTTTAACTGTCCTGTCTTATGTGTACTCCAGTTGCAGTATGAACCACTTTCATTGCACTGTTTGATATTAAATGGTTCGAGCAGATAAAACTGAGCGCCATGCTTTAAGATAAATTTATGTTTTGTTGACTTTTGGAGAAGTGGAGGTTGTTTGTTAATTGTTTGCACAGTTGGGTTTCATTGTAAGCGCTCTTATTAACCTTCCCTCCAGTAACAGCAGGCAGCATTACTGGATGCAAAAAGGCCCCAAAAGAGGAACTGTGCAATCCATGCTACACACTAAACAGCAGACAGACACAGTTAACGACTAGCTGGGAAACGGCGGCGCATTTAGCAACTGAAGTGGTCTAATAGATTGGGAATATTTTAGTCCAGAGAGTTGCGTATGTATTGGTGGAGTTCAGACAGTTTGCAGGAGTTTTCTTGCCATTTTTTGATGCATTTATCAAAATGGTCCTACGCACCTTTCTTAGGAAATAGATTAAATTCTGGTACTCGATGATAGCACGATTATTGCAGCAGTTTTTAGTTCTTCATGGAACATGTTTGTCCGTGCATAATTGTTAATCCTGTATAGAAATCGCATCCTTTTAACTTTTACACACCAACCAAGAGTGGTGCTCTTAATCTCGTATCCTGTCCAATAAAGGTTTTCAATTTCAAATTAATCTTAATTTTCAGTGCCCTTCAATCATTAAAATAACAGAGAGCAATCTTTCTGGGCTCAGATGTCCCTGGCGGTTCGGTTGCGCCCCGTGTACGGAGGGAATAGTCCTCCAAGGCTTTATGTTTCATATATGATTTTATGTAATAAGGATATAAAGTTTTACACCTCACTGCAGAGCTCTTGTAATTGCACACAAAAAGGTGAATTTGAGACCCTCTGAAATCTTTTCCTCCCCCTAACATGATATCAGGACTTAGTGTGACTGAAGACTGATCTTAAGTCTAATCCTCACTTTGAACTGTTTGCAGAGGAGGTGTGTTTGTGGGTGAAACGGGGAACCTGAGGAGACCTTAATCCCCCCCCCCTCTCCGCTGCAGCGCTAAGTGAAACTTTCCGGGTCGAAGGTCGACTCCAAACTTTCTACCATCAAAAACACTGAGCGGTCACCCGATACTTCACAGCTCGGTCTCAACAGGTGGAGGAGACGGTGACAGACGGTTCAAGGAGAAGACTTTCAATTAAAAGGATTCCTGATGGGACTCGTATGACTGAGGGGCCGAACATGAACAGCTGCTATCAACAAGTCTGCAAGTCTCCCGCTGCAAAGCGACGGAGACGGTGCAGGACCCCAGAATATTTGATGCTGATATTTAACAGACGCATGCTCGGTTATCTGATTTGTTAAATCAACATTTGGGAATTATGAGCCGATGTGTAGATACTCAGCTCTCCTCTACTGAACCTGGTTTCTGTTAAGGGTCTGATAGGCTACAGAATTTCATTCGATTCTATTAAAGGCATCTTTATCATTGTTTTTAAGCAGGTGAGGAGTTTCAAGTCTATCCTCTCTAAATGTCTCTCAGTCATGAATGTCTACAATGAGTGAGAAGCTCGAGTCCTGCTGGCTGTGTTGTTGTCAGCGCCGTGTTTACATCATGTTCACATGGACGGGACGGCCTGCACATAAAGCTGTTTTAGTCAAGGACTAGAGGAAAGAAGAACTCACTGATTATTTGAATGTCACATAAGTGTTTTTAGATCTCGTTCACTCTGTGTCAATTTAAGTGCAATATGAAGCTACGAGCTAACTAAAGGGTGCTAACATTAGCATGCTAACACAGGCAAATGCAGCTCAAGCAAAGGACAATTTTGTCTGCAGTTTGCGCTTAATGGTGTTTAACTATGGCGTGTTCTAATCGATAACTCCTTTGTGCGAGTGCAGAGGGGTTGGAGGTGTACCGCTGGAGGAGAGCGGAGGCTTCAGAATATCGAAGGTGTCCCCAAACAGCAGTTTGTTTTGGTTTAATGCTGTTGCTCAAGAGCGCCATCTACTGGATCAAAAAGTCACACATTCTTCCTTTAAGAAGCTCCTCTAAAAAACTACCAAGCTCCCAGTATTAGGTTCCCAGGACCTTTATTGTTGCTATGGTAATGAAACAGGTATCGATATTTGATTCTCTGACTTTTCATTGTAAATCTAAGTTGAAGCGAGTCGTGAAGCGTTGATATTTCATTGTGAATGATGGCTTTGTTTCAAACGGTGCTTCCTGGTTTCTCCGTTCTCTCTCATGCAGGTATCTGCATGTGACACCAGTAGCTTCACGTTAGCAACATTACAGCCTGGCAAAGTCTGTGTCTGTAAACTTCACTGAACTCCGTTACAAAACACTATGCTCGGCCCGAAAGAAGATATAGTTCCTCAATTTGATGCCGAAGACTGGAAGAGTTGGGAAATAATTAGAAAAGGGATGTTTACAGTCTGGGGGGGACTGAAACAGAGTCTGTGAATCTGTGGACAGTGTGAAGAACTCTCTGCATGTTCACTTTCCAAAGCACCTGCTGGTCTAAAACTCTGCATGTGTGCAGAGATATTCATCACATCACGAGGGTGTGATTGAATGGGAGCGCCTCGTCACATCAGAAGCAGAGAACAGCTGATATTTGCGGCCAGTATTGATCCAGCCCCCGACCAATATGCTTCTTCTACTTGAGTAACTATGTAGCACAGACTGCCAAAGCCCCCCATTCATCCAAACAATGCCGAGCAGAACAAGTGGCCTGGGAGTGGGTCATTATAACGAGTGAGTGGTGCAGCAGCAGCGGCCTAAATGCTGAACCTTAACAACCCCTCCCACTCCAAAATCCACTCCCAGTCTCCTCATGCCTGGGTGGGGACGATGGGGGGGGAGGGGCCGGGCTCCAGGACAGCTGGGTGCATAAAAATAAAAGCCCCCCACCAGCTGTGACTCTGAGAAATGTCCCACCACCTCGTCCTGCAGCGCCACACCCCTGACTCACGATGAGGCGGCTGCCATTAAATATGCAGACAAATGGAGGGCTTTCTAAATTTATACATGCACACACACGACTCAGGTTTAATTACACGGGTGAAAGTCTGAATGCAAGAGGACTGCAGGGCTGAGTGGTTAGGCAGAGGTGCATTATGGGACTTGTGGCGAGTGGTGGGAGTGTGTATTTAAGTGGCTGCTCTTACCTCGTGGGCATCAAATTAAAGAGTATTAGAAAGGCTGTCCTTAAAGTCCAGCAAAGATATTTTAACCTTTTCTCTTCTAAGTGCTTTTCAAACTTTATTTTTTACAGATTTGTTTGAAGAATAAACAAGATAGACTCGATTTATTTAAAATCCTGAGTGTGTTGATAAGGATTAATAACTCTTTTGTTTGTGAGTAATGATTTTGGCTTCCAAAGTTTGACAAATTTTTGCTTTTTGTTGTCTTACACTATTTATTTGACTACTGGTGGTTATTAGGATTGTTGGTCAGAGAACGACGAGACGTTTGAGGCACCAGTAGTCAAGTGGTTAGTGCATGCGCCTCATGTGCGATGGCTGTAGCCCTCTGAGCGGGCGGCCAAGGTTCAAATCCGACCTGTGGCTCCTTTCCCGCATGTCATTCCCCTCTCTCTCTCTCTAGATTTCTGACTCGATCCACTGTCCTGTCTCTAAAATAAAGGCACAAAAAGCCCCAAAATAAACCTTCCAGAAAAGATGTTTGAAGACATTACCTCGTACTTTGAGAAATTGTGCTAACTTTAAACTACTCTCTGATTTACAAATAAAAACAACAATTGTTTAGAGTTAACGTTGGTGAATGTAATCTTGTAACGTACCTGCAGGAGATCACTGAGATCCAGCAGCATGTCTGAGGAAAACTGGTAAAGGGAAGTAAACTGAAGTTTGAAATAGCAAACAAAACAACCACAATCGTATCACTTTGATCACTCTGTCAACAAATTACCTCACGGGGGTAAAACCTTACAAGAACTGGCACCTGTACTAGTTACTTAAATAAACGTGTGATAATTTCTCTTCATCTCAAAACGAAGTTGGTTTGAAATAAGTTGGTAGAAACATAACGTCACATTTGCTGAGTTTGAGAAATTCAGACTAATTTCTGAACCAGCGATCAGGACATGGGTCGAGTAAAGCTGCAGTCCGCACAACACACAAGTTGAAAACATTTCGAAAAAAATGGACAATGAAGCATCAGAGTCGGACAGAAAACGGTGTCAAACCCTTTATTTTTGGTTTATTGGTTGGTCAGTTTTTTTTAAGAATCTGCATGGGGTTATCGATGTCTAAATCCAGTTCCATTCATGTTATCCACATGATTTTTTAAACATTTTAAACAAGTTTCTCCATTAAAACACAAACAAATCTCTTAAACGTTTGTTTTTTTGTTTTTTTAGTGGGAGGGCACCTTAATTTTGCTGACAAAAAAACAGACAAAAAAGTGAATAACGTGGAGCTCAGGCAGCTGTGTCAGTAAATCTATTGAGACTCAGAAAGCATCACCTCTGACCAGACGACTCTTCTTAATATACTGAAGGACCTGCTGCCTCCCTCTAAATGACCTCACAACACACACACACACACACACACACACACACACACACACACACACACCCGTCCGTCCCTCCCTCCCAGTGGCTGGACACACTGGTCGCCGTGGTGATGGTTGCACCTGTCTCCAGGCTGGATTAGTTAGCTTTGTGGCTCCTCTTAAAAAGGCCTCACAATGGAATTAGCCGAGCACAGATGAAATGGAAAAGATAATCCCAGCGCACGCCGTCTGGAGATTAAAGACCTCCACCACTCAACACCACCCCCCTCTCTCTCCCTCTAAATGAGCGAAATAAACAACAACAGATCCTCCAACACATCTGGGGGGTGAAGTGAGGAAAAACAAACAGCTTCTTTTGTGCAACAGGAAGGATTGATGGAAGGAAAAAACTCAGAATGGATTTTAAATATCTAAAGAAATCTGCCAAACCGTCAACATTTACTGCATGTCCTCCTCAATCTCTTCTCTCTCTTCACTGTTCTATCTAGAATAAAGGCCCCAAAAAAACTATCAAGTTTGAGTTGTTCTAGTTTCTTACATTTTACTCTGACTTTTACTGTTTTGGATTCTTAGCAATGCTGCTACGATCCCAGACGACAGAAAGTCTTTATCAGCTATAAATTACGCCACATGGTGTTTCAGTTAGATAATACTTTAAAGTCTTTGTGATTTTTCACACTTAAATATAATATAAATCAAGTATTTCCTCTGAAAATAACTCTGTGATTCATGACTGTCTACAATGGGTGTAACACCCGAGTCCCACTGTCTGTGATGTTTTCAGAGTTTTCAGAGTCCTATCTTCACTTTGTTTACATCGCCAGGACGGCCGGCTGACTCCTCCCCTCGTGTATAAAAGTTGTTAAATTGAGGGACTAGAGAAAAGAAGAATAACATACTGTACTCACTGCTTAACTGTGTTTCTAGATCACGCTCATTTCAGGTAAATTTACATGCAGTGTGAAGATACCAGCATCATAAAGATCGCCAGCATTAGCATGCTAACACAACAATGCAGCGTGAGTTGTTTTGGTTTCATGCTGGTGCTCAAGGGCGACATCTGCTGGATCAAAAAATCGCATGTAAAGCCTTTAAATGAAAGCTACTCGGCTGAAAGAGGCTGAGATGTCGCAGATTTACAGAGAATAAAAAGATCATTTCTATTCAACAGAACAAATTGTATTAATCAATGAAGTTTGAAGAATTTGTCAAGATTCACCGACTGAGACTTCAACAGCTGGATCATAAATCAACATATTTGTACTGGTTGTTTTTTTAATGCCTTTAAGAGATGTGTTCAAGGATTTTAAAGAATTTCTGGGACAATTCACCTCTCTTATAGACTCGAGAAGAGGGCAAATAAAAGTGAAAAGCAGGGAGAAAGGTTGAGAAGAATCAACAAAAGGTGGGATTGCAGGAAAAAATGCTTACAAGTAGAAAAGAAAAAGTCAATTTCCTTTTCGCAGTGCCTCCTGAAGCAAAACTGCAGCTTTCGACGGGTGTTTCCTTTCCACTCTGTTCTCCCTCCTCTTTGTCCGTATTCTCCCCTGCGACAACATTACAGACTCACCCAGCTGTGGAAGAGGAAGTGAGCAGAGCTATTTTTACCCCGGCCTCACTCCTCCCAACATGCACAAACAGACAGGCCTGCACTAACACACACACACACACACACACACACACACACACACACACACACACACACACACACACACACACACACACACACACACACACACACACACACACACACACACACACACACACACACACACAAGCCTGGTAAACAATGCAGCAGGAAGAGGTATTACACCCTCCTCAGCCCTCTTTCATTTGGTTAACCTATCCCGGGCGTCCTGTGCTGCTGTTACATAACACGTTCATCCTCTGAGGCGATGTGAGTCAGGAGTAGACGGCACAAACACCAAAGAGCCACCCTGCTTATGAATCTAAAAGTCCCATTATCCCGACCACGACATATGACTCTCGACTTCAATAAGCTGCCGTTAGCAGATTACGAAACGTTAAGAAAGACGGTGACGGGCGGCCCGGCCTCCGCTGGCTCGCATCAAACGCAACCTGCAGACTTTGATGTGTCATCCTCAATCAGTTCAGGATGAAGGGTGACACATTTAATGTGCAGCTTTGTCAGCTAATGCCGAACTTTAGCTGAGCTGTTAGACGTGCAGTTTAACAACAAGTGTCTCTGCTGCATCGCTGCTCACAGGTGAAAGTTTCTCTTTGATCAGGTGTCCTCTCAGAGGTGAAATTTAGATCTTTTTACAACGTTAAATAAGACTGAAGGAGCCTGACCAACTTGGTGAATGAGACATTAAGATGATGATTTAATCAGACTAAACACATTCAAATCATTTAGATTCTGAAGTTATGAAACATTCAAACTTTTTAAAAAAAGGAACAAAAGGAAATGAGTGCAATGTAAGGATACGTGGTGTTCCCTCGGTACGGCAGACCATGTACAGACAGGCGGCAACGACGTGCATGGACTTTCGCCCGCAGGTCAGGTGTTTCATGAGCGCCATCTTGTAGAAGTTGAAGGCCATGTCCAGACAGTGCTTGTTCATCTGCAGCTGGTGACCCAGGGTGTTGATGTTCTGTTTTGCTAAAGAGACACAGAAATACCAAATGATGTTAGCTCACAGAAACGCTGCAACAAGGGCGGAAAAGATGGTTAACTTCACATTGTGGACAAGTGCAAAACTTTGTACAGAAAGGGTATTATAATGAAGTACTGTAGTGCTGCAGAGACATCCTGACCTACACATCTAATTTACAAGATTTAAGAAAACTTTTATTTTTTTATTTCAAACAAACTAGAGACGCATCAGTGAATCTGCCCTGTTGACAGACATCGGCCCAATTGGAAACTTAAAGGCAGGGTTGGTAATTTTCAAAAACAAGCATGATTTTGAAAGTAGCATTCCCTCAGTGCTCCGTCTGCACCCCCCCCCCCCCTCTGTGCTCCCTCATAAGCCACGCCCCCTCACTTAAATGCAAGAGCGCCGTTGCTCCAGAAGCGGACCTCAGCTCATCTCTTGAATTGTGTAGAAACTACGTCGTCTCATGTCTCATTCAGCGGCAAGTAAACTAACTGGTGACGCGCTTTGAGTGTGGGCTAGAGCACGCAAGAGGGTAGAGAGCGAGCAGGGAGACAGGGAGGCGTCTGATTGGTTCATCAGATTGGTACCTCGTGGCAGACATTGGTTGAAGTTTTTACAGACTTACAAACTGATACAGATGACGGATTCTCTTTGTTCCTTTTTCAGAGCACCTGAGTTATTAATGTCTGTCAGGACCTAAAGACGATTTCAAACAAAATCTTAAAAAACTGGATCTGGAGAAAATTACCAACGCTGCCTTTAAGTGGCACGCACCGATGTCAGTAGCCAATGCGTCTGTTTTTATCGGGCGGGAGAAGATTTATTTTTGTGGTCAAACGTGAAAGGAAACGTCTGCAGTGTGGCAGCCTAACATCGTCTCTAGGAAAGATTAGCGACATGTTCCAGGGACATTTCAAGAGCAGAGACCGCTAACAACAATTTAAACACATTAAATCTCATCGCTCATTCGAAAAGAAGACTAGAAGATTTACAAAAAAGTGATGAAAAAAAACATTGGTATCAGAATCTGCATCAGTATCCGCCCTGAACAGACCCCAACAGTTTATTATTTTTTTACTCATATCAACTTTACTCTGTCACCATAGTTGTTGTATGAAAGGTGAGGTTACTAAGGGCCTTGAGTATAGCTGCACTGCCGAGTCAGAACACGGGGTTATGGCACCATGATCACTAAATGTGATGTAGCAGCTATTGAGACACTGACGTTGTTTAGTCTGATCAGGATTTTAAATACACACATGCATGACCGCACGTCGTTACACGAGCACGTAAACATTACCGTCTGCAAACAAACACGTCAGGACATCCACGCCTGGAGACGAGCACAAGGGTTCAATTACACACACGTGTGGGAATGTGCACGCACAAACCAGTATAACCATGGCATGACACGCAACAAGCACGTCTGCCCAAGCGATCTCTCTAGACAAGACAGATTACTGCCAATGAGCTGCAGGTAGGTGTGTGTGTGTGTGTGTGTGTGTGTGTGTGTGTGTGTGTGTGTGTGTGTGTCCTCGGATGAGCTCAACGTCTCTTCATACAAACAAGTGTGTGTCTAGGAATGCGAGAGAGTCTAAGCTCTTGTTGTTCAATTCAACATACTTTCAGATCCGTAACCAGCACACTTTATAACATCAGCATCACGCACATGCACATGCACGCACATGCACACACACACACACACACACACACAATGCACAGTTTGATATAAACAACGTCTGGATCTGGGATTTCTGTCTGGATCTGTTTCTAATTATTCCAGAAGAAGCTGAGTTTCTTTCTCCACACAGCCACTGAAATTCAACCAACTGAAGAAAGTGGTTGAATTATGCAAAAGAGCAGAAGAATTTTTAATGGTCTTTCAATTCAACTTTCCCACACAGATGAAAGTTGCCAGGCTGTCACACATTTGTAGATTCTTGAACTGTTAAATTGGCCGACTTTCAACCAGCTGTGTATCCTGATAAACTGGATATAGTCTGTAAATGAAGAATGTTTCACTCCCCTCAGTGGTGGCTCCCTGCTCATGCACCAGCAAAACTCTCGCCTGTGTACGACCTGTACTTCCAACTTTTTCCTGTCTACCTGTGGGAAGTTGTCTCTTGAAAATCAAAACCTCAGAGGCGGCTGTGGCTCAGTGGTAAGAGTCTGGAGTCCCACAACCTGAAGCCACAGTGTCCTTGGGAAGAAACTGAACCCCAAGTTGCTCCCACTGCAGCGTCAGCGGTGTGTGAGTGTGCAAGAATGTGATTGGTTGAAAATGATGGACACTTCACATGACAGGCTCTACCATCAGTGTGTAACTTTGGGAAGTAAATGGTGTACGTTTTAGCTGATTAGTTCATTGTTCCTTTAAAGTCTTTCTATGTGATTTTTCACACTTCAATATAATAGAAATCAGTATATCCTCTGAAAATAACTCTGTGAGTCATGACTGTCTACAATGGGTGTAACACCCGAGTCCCACTGTCTGTGATGTTTTCAGAGTTTTCAGAGTCCTATCTTCAGTTTGTTTACATCGCCGGGACGGCCGGCTGACTCCTCCCCTCGTGTATAAAAGTTGTTTAATTGAGGGACTAGAGAAAAGAAGAATAACATACTGTACTCACTGCTTAACTGTGTTTCTAGATCACGCTCATTTCAGGTAAATTTACATGCAGTGTGAAGATACCAGCATAATAAAGATCGCTAGCATTAGCATGCTAACACAACAATGCAGCGTGAGTTGTTTTGGTTTCATGCTGGTGCTCAAGGGCGACATCTGCTGGATCAAAAATCGCATATAAGCCTTAAAAACAACAGAAGATCAACTTTAAAAGTTTGCCGAGACAATATCCAGAAAAGAAATCAAAGAAATCAAAAGATCCAGATGCAAAGGAACCAATCCAAAACATGACTCATGATGTCGACTTCAGGATATAAAACATCAAGATGAAAAAGTTCTTATCAGTCGCCTCGGCTTCATCAAGCCACAAGTGAAGATAAAACTGTTAATTGCTAGCCTAATTCTCCCCAAGTGTTTGTCACAGATGTAAGTAGGGCAGACACTCCACGCTGCAGATGTAATTAGGCCTCTTCTCCCCTGATCTAGAAAAAAAATAAAAACTGAAGTCTCCTGCCCTTTACTTGACTCTTCAGATAAAACTTCCAAAAAGCAGCGGATTCCCTAATAAGAGCCTTTAAATAGGTAAAGAAAAAACACTTCATAACATTTACATGAACAAAAACTGGGACACCCCGAGGCGGAGTGGCATTTCCAAAGTATTTTATTCAGCTGTCTAGGGAGCCATTATTCAAGCATTTACATACAAAAACACAGTCCTCTTGTTTAACCAACGCCTAGTAAGTCTCACTGATTTCATTCATACCATCAAATATCACAGAAATTGTCCTCATGAGGCTTTAAAATGTGTTCTACATACGACTTCCTCTGTCCTTAGATTTATTTTTTGGATTCGCTTCTGCTTAAATCAAAAGTCGTTTTTGGACTTGACAAACTCTCCGTAGTTATAAGAGCAGAGGACCCCACTCCTTTTTCTTGTGTTTACACTTAAAGCCATAGGAACGATTGTGTTTCCAAAGCCGTTTTCATACATGCACTCAGGGCTGGGCGATACGGACCAAAACTCATATCTTGATATTGATGAGCTGAATGGCGATACTCGATATATATCGATATGTATTTTATTGACAGTGAAAACACATGAAAAAATAAACTACCTGTTTGTGAATTTATAAAGTAATATAATAAAATAAAAATGTTCCTTAAATACAATAAAAGAGAGAGAGAGGAGGAGCAGGGTGAAGAGGGACAGACAGTCAGTCATCACCAGTGAGATGAGGAAAGGTGACCTGGCACCTCTGTAACGTTATTTTAATGCAACATAAACTATATCCATATTAACATATTGTCTTACCCTATATCTTGTTTGAAAATATATCATATATCTTAAAAACTTGATATATTTCCCAGCCCTAATGCACTCCTTACATTTTTTAAAGACATTTTCAGGCCGACTACCCCTGAAATCTTCCTGTGTTGCTTGTTCCAACATGCACCGTCAACAACGCGAAAGTGGATAATGATGCATCAAAAGTCTGATGCTATTGTGACAAGGGTAGTAGTTCTGTGAGGGGGGGGGGGGGGGGACTCACAGTGGCAGTTCCTCTGAGGGATTCCCCAGCTTGTATGAGACGGAGGCAAACAGTAATGTGTCACCTCGACAAAACAAGGCCAAAGTTTCAGTCAAACTTTTGGAAGTGATGGTAAATGTGTGTTTGAAACTCTTCTAGCATTACAGAATTATTTGAGTCATGTTCAAATTAGAATAAATAGAATCAGTTTGGTATCAACCCACTCCTTTACCATGCAACTCTACAGCCAGACTTATGGTAATCACTCAGTTTTTACTGCAGCTCCAGTTTGTGATTCAGACTGCTCAGACGTTGCATGTTATCACACATGAATCTCGCCTGGAACCACTTTCAAAGCTACATTTAAATTCCAGTCATCAAGCCTACAAGGCAGCACACTGTGGACCGAAACACGAGGGAGCAGTGATACACTATTGCCCAACACTAATTCACAAATGCAGGAGAAGGCGTTGGGAGTTTGGGCACCCAGATATGAATCAGTCGGTGGTGAGACAGAGGAGGAGCATGCGGCTGCTTGGGGAATTTTCTTAAGGACGAAAATATAGAAGTGTTAGAAGAAGATGAAGCGTTCGTCTCTGTAAGACGCCTGCAGACTCACATGACTTCAAAAGCCACAAATGTCACCACAGACGTCACACAAGACAAAAGTATTTGAACCACTAGCTCTGGTCTGAGTGTCAGAGTGAAACAAGCATAAGACCAGGGAACTCTTTCTTTGTCGTTGTCCATCACAAATTTCTCTTTAAAGTCTTTAGATGTGATTTTTTGATCCAGCAGATGTCGCCCTCAAGCACCAGCATCAAAACAACTCACGCTGCATTGTTGTGTTAGCATGCTAATGCTAGCGATCTTTATCATGCTGGTATCTTCACACTGCATGTAAATTTACCTGAAATGAGCGTGATCTAGAAACACAGTTAAGCAGTGAGTACAGTATGTTATTCTTCTTTTCTCTAGTCCCTCAATTAAACAACTTTTATACGTGAGGGGAGGAGTCAGCCGGCCGTCCCGGCGATGTAAACAAAGTGAAGATAGGACTCTGAAAACTCTGAAAACATCACAGACAGTGGGACTCGGGTGTTACACCCATTGTAGACAGTCATGACTCACAGAGTTATTTTTAGAGGATATACTTGATTTATATTAAGTGTGAAAAATCACATAAAGCCTTTAATGCTCATTTTGTTTAATCACCACTGTAGCTGGTTGGTTGAGCAATCAGTGTTGCCTCGTGTGTGCACTAAAACCAATCGCTGTATTTAAACCAGTATTGACACTATGGCAATAAACTCATGTCAGGGCAGGACATAAAACTGGTGCCGGTATTGATACAGGTTTACCGCCCACCCCTGTGTGATAGTGATAGGATCCCTATTTAAACACAACCATACTGATAAAGAGCATCGCAAAAATAAAGCCTCTTTCCATCCAGACGCGTCAGCAAATGCACATCTTTTCCTAAAGCAAACAGGCAGAAAATAACGGAAGAATTCCCCAATCCTCATCCTGCTATCTCCTCATACACACACACACTCAAACACACATTGTGACTAAACTAATCCCCTATCCACACTGTCTAACACACATGCTCCCATTACTCAGCGTCTGCTGCAGTCTGACAGCTCTGTGACTCTGCGGCTCCATCGCTGAAACATCATCAGTGGAGCAGACGGTCGGTAACCAGCTGCTCGGCTTGGAGTACGAGCTCTGGCTCCCTGCCCGGCAGCCCGGCAGCCCGGCAGCCCGGCAGCCCGGCAGCCCGGCAGCCCGGCAGCCCAACAACCCTCAGCTGAGCTTTTTTTTTTGTCTCTTTCTGCAAGTTGTTGACGTGGTTCTAAACAAGAGTTATTGAGCTAAAACTCCTGCGTCAGCATGAGCTCTAGGGACACTCTAGGAGGTCCCGTAGGTTCCCTTCGAGGGCCCATGAAGGATGATGAAGAGGTCAATATTAAGCCTGACAGATTTATAAACAGGGCTGATGTTATCTGTGGATACTGGCTTATCACAGAGACAATACAAGCAAAAAGAAACAACTCTCTTGGAGCAGAGCAGACACATCCTCCTTGCTTTAACAGTTTCAGTTTGATGTATTCTCTACAGAATAAATAACACAATCCTCCTCTACATGACCTTCTGATCATTTAAGATATCGTTTTTTCTAACACAAATGCAAAACATTGATAGGATTGCATTAAGTATGTGCATCCTAAACATCATCTGCATTTATCCGCATGCTATTTTAGCAGTTTGAAGCGTTATTTTGCAGCACACTTGAAAGTGAAACCTGGAAATAAAAGCTAAAATAGCCTCTAGAGGTCAAAAGATGATTTGTGCCACAAGAAACTCAGATTTTGCAGCTTCTGCAAGCCATCATGTCCCAGAGACAGGAAACATCATCAACCCCTGCAAGGAACTGTCATACAATATACCTAACTCAGAGATGGATAGAAAAGAGGTTGAAAGCCAGTAAAGTTTAAACATTATCAACATGGTCATATAATGTGATGAGCGATCATGTCTCTATCAACAACAACACACAGTTGATTCAACCTGAATGTGGACATTAAACGTGCTGTTCTTTCAGCAAACATGATAAAAAGATTCAAGGTAAACTATTAAAAGCCTATCATTTCTAAAAGCCTTTAATTTATTGGATGTTGTGTCAGAAAAGGTTAAAAAAAATATGTTGATACACGGCTGCTTTCAGGAGAGAAAGCGTACACACGAAGACTGATTCAAATGTTTGCTCTAGAGGTTAACAGAGACAGCCTGTGATGAACACAGGGTCAGATGTTTTCTATGTTTCAGTCAGCTCTGTAAAGTTTTTTAAAGGATTACATTCTGATTTAAAAAGGAAATTCATGACACGTGTATGACCCAGACTCAAACTTTCGCCCCATATGGAGGAACGAACATCACCAGAGGATTCTGTAAACTCAAAAGCTGGTGTGTGGCGCCCTCTGCTGGTCACTCACCTCTCTGCAGCGTCTGAGCTCTGGACTCTCTGCCCACACCTGTGAAGTGCCCGTCACCGAAAGACGGGTTTGGACCTCCACCTGAGGACAAAGACCAGACAGTCAATATAACAAATATAATAATTACTGTGCACTAAAATAAGTATTCAATTTGACTTTTTTCCCCGTTTATCTCCGTCTTACATCAAAGTAAAACGATATTATGGTTTTTAGGACAATAAATGTCACCTTGTGGTCTGAGAGATTAATTCTTTGCCATCTTAGAGTTTTACACAGCAAATTATGGTATATTATATTATATATAAATATATTATGCTGCTTCATAATCTCCAGATCCAAATTCATGGATGTACATGTCCAAGAAAAAAACTTTAATCCCTAACTGAAAGTCAAAATCAGAATCAAAAGTGAGAAGAACTCAATTATCAATAAATAAACCATAACTGTGTGTGCATTATCTAATGGCTTCACACCAGCAGAAGAAGTAGCTATATGTACTGTGGTGTGATCTGACAGCACCCTCTAGTGGACAGCTGGGGAACTTCAAGACAGGAAGTAAACCTTGGTCAGAGAAAGTCTTGATGTAAATGTTAAACGCAGATGTGGAACAACAAAAACAGACAGAACAGCCTCACGTGTGGCAATACTACATACCACAAAATATCTCACAAACACAAATATCAACGTGTTGATGTTTAATCAGTGTTTAAAAGTCAAGATTGTCTGAACTAACACAAATGTTCTCCACTCTCTTACCCGATTTCTCTTCAATAAATTCCACAAATCTTCACAGATGAGAGACTCAAACTGTGAATGTTTTTATAAGCTTAAAAAAGTCTTTAACAAGTAATCAGATATATAATTGTTTAATCCACGTTTAGCCTCATTATTATTATATTTTCTCTTCTTTGCCGCCATGTCAGCCTCCACAACACTCCCCAGTTTGAATGTCGTCCAATCACTGAATTCTATCCACTCCCAAAGTCACCGGCGCCCTGTCATTGGCTGGAGGAAACACACACACACACCCTCCACCCAGAAACATCCCGAGTCAACCAAAGCATCAAGATACAGGCGGAGGACAGGGTCTCTGCAGACAGCGGCCCAATCTCGACCTCCACCCTCACACACTCACTGACTTTGGTGCACGGCGTTCCCGGTAAGTCTGTGAGGGCTCAGTGCTGTCCCACTGTCAAATCGTCAAGTGTTTAAGGGATCTCTCGCTGACTTTACGAATCCTTTATGCATCCATCGTAAGTGGGCATATCTGCAGGCTTAACGTGAGGGAATTACCCATAGTTCATAGCATTGCGACGTGAAACATATGATTTCCCGGGGAAGCCCACAATAATTCAAAGGTCAACAAACGCCATAAAATCTACTAAAAAAGGTTAGCCTATTTGGAAAATACCGCTAATTCAGAACTCATTTGCAAGTCTATAAACGTAAACAAGAGAGACAGAGAGCATATAAGTCCCGTTATATTTATAAGATAAAATAAACCTATATTTATCCCACAACGAATACATTTATCTATCGGCTTATATTGAGAAGAACTTTTTAATAAGAGCTGTGAGTAAAGCGATTCGAGTTAACATCAGTTATTTCCACTGTACTTTCATTAGGTAAAGATTATTCATGTTAAGAATATAACCAGTGTTAAGTAATACACTTCTTCTTTTGTATAGTAGGCTACGTTGTTTGGGACACAAAACCTACTTATATATTTATTTACATTTAGTTAGCTTTCTTGCCTTTAGAGTATTGATGTCTAAGAGCATAATCTGAATATCTCTGTATAGATATGTGTGCATGCTGTAGGTCTGGTTGAAGTCCTCTCTGTATAGATGTGTGTGCATGCTGTAGGTCTGGTTGAAGTCCTCTCTGTATAGATATGTGTGCATGCTGTAGGTCTGGTTGAAGTCCTCTCTGTATAGATATGTGTGCATGCTGCAGGTCTGGTTGAAGTCCTCTCTGTATAGATATGTGTGCATGCTGCAGGTCTGGTTGAAGTCCTCTCTGTATAGATATGTGTGCATGCTGCAGGTCTGGTTGAAACGAAAACTATTGAGTTGAGTTTTCTGTACTGCTCAAAAGAGAAAATAATATTTAAATAAAACACTATATTATAAAATGCAGATTGTTTCACAAATGCTCATCTTCTCTCTCTAGATGTAATCAGAAACATTTAAATCCATCCCCTGCTGGCCCCGGGCCGTCTGTGACCACTTCTGCTCCCTAAACTGTTTGGTATTGATTGTTCTGTTACACTAGTTGTTTGTATTTATTTTATTTTGTATTTACTTATAAGAAATATTTGTGTTATTACCATTTTAAAAATGTTTGTCTATAAGTATTTTTTAAATAAAGACATTCTGTTAAATATAAAACTGTAGGCAAGTTTTATTTAAATGGATGAATATTGTCTTTGGTGGTCAAACTGTCTGCAATACAAGGGGCAACCACTGAAATCTTGCCTAGGGCACCAAAATGGCCTACATGTAGTACAGTAACATATGATATTTCTCTCTGAATTATAGTGGAGCAGACGTATCGAGCGGTATAACATTTTAATACTGAGGATAAAGTCAGCAAGTTAAATTTTACAACAGTACTTGAGTGAATGTATTCAGTTACTTCCCATATCTAGGAAACTATTGTACAAAACCATAACAGACAAACATCTTCTAAATAAAGCAGGTTATATTTGTCAACAATCTCACTCTCTATTACGTCTGGTAAAGACTTCATGACCAGGTTTGCTCTCACAGGTGAATCATTTCATTCCTCTCACCTTCTGAGGAGACAAACTGTCCGACAGCCGACGACCCTCCGCCTCCCGTCTCCACAAACTCCACCTCAGACACGATGATGTTGTCCTCCAGCACGGAGCCGCAGCCCATACAGACCGCATCTCCACGCGCCTGGTCAACATCGATGTCCGAGCTGCCGCAGCTCTTACACACCCTGGAGCTCATGGTGTCGCACGGCAGGAAGCCCCAAAGCCTGATGAGGAAAAGAAAATTCAAGTTTATTGTTTTTTTTAACACTGTTCTAATGCTCTGCCCGGTTTAAACCCCTTTGTATTGTCTTGTATTTTCAATTGTGATCACTTAATGAAGCTATGAAAGAAAGATATGAGCTCGTTCCATACTCAAATTTATGCTCAAACTACAACTGTGCACTTAATCACAAATTCATCGTTATTGAGGAATTGCAATAAACACATCGCGCGCAGCTACCATCAAATTAACCAGTTTAATTTATTTTGCATTTTGGAGTTTGGAGATTCTGTTAATCTAGGATTTTCAGGGCCGATACAGATATCGATATTGGGGAAAGTAAGAATCAGAAACCGATATATCGGCCGATATCTTTCTTAGATCTGTGCTGGATTTGTCGAGATAGATACAGAAACGCATGTTTATTGCGTTGATCCCTCAAATGCAGTTATGAAACACTTGTGGAAAAGATTTATAACGAAGACAAGATGGTCACTCGACTGGAAATTAACTGTGCATGTACGTGAATCATCGCTCCACACTCTGGAGAGTGATGCTTATTGTAATCCATACAGCGCCCTCTGCTGGTGACAGCCAGAACAAGAACTGCTAGTGTTACACAGTGATATTCAAATTAAATGCCATTTGACTGGTGAATAAATCGAGTAATATCAGCGCACATCTGCAATAAAATCCTCCGATACAGATCGTCTCTGGATATGATAATATCGTCTGATATTATCGGCCAGTCGATGAATCTGTCGGGTTTTAATAACTGCTTATACTCTTGGGGATGAACATATTCTATAATCCATGATGTTTAAGTTCTTAGTTTGTTTTCATAGGTCAGCTTTTTGTTTGTTAAAGGGGATCAGTTGTAATGTTCATTGCATATTTCTCTGCAGGTTTTTTTTTTTACACACACTACCCTGATTACACTTGTTCTTTCCTGAACTAACATCCTCAATGCAGGAGCTTTACCTAGGTTTACTGAATGCACTCAGGTGAAGTATCTGTGCACTTCAGTCTGCAGGTCCACCCTGAGCACCCTTCAATGATTGTGCACAACTTCCCCGGCTGTCTGCTCCCATTAGCCGGTTAGCTACGTGGCATTGCTCAGCACCAGGTGGCTAGCTCAGCTTTTCTTTTTTTTTTACATTACCAAGCCAAAAGACGAGTCATTTTCAACAAGCCCTTTTCCCCGCCGACATATTCATGATGTAACAAGTATTGCACACGTAGTTAGAAAGGCTCATAATGACAGGTATGTGGTGACGGTGTACAAACCTTCAGTCCGGTGAAGTCAAACAGCAGTCGCCTGCAGTCACGCCGGTTAGCGTGTCAGCTCCTTTACACAAAGTGTTTTCTACTATAACCCTGATTTTAATGATTTATTTAATCATTGACCGAGAAGCTTATCGCATTGTGAGAGCACACAGCAACGTGACAGCCCGCAACGGTTCACTTAAATGCTGTAATTTCACCGCAATCCTCAGCACAACACACCCGACATGTGCGTTTGATGCTGGGCAGACTCGGGCGAGACCAACTCGGTTTGGAGGGGTGGCGCGCTGTCAACATGTACTTCGATTTAAGCAATCTTTGTTCAGTGGGTTCTTTTTTAGAAACTCAAAGTAGCGTTATGATTTCGGGTTTATTTTGGGTGTTGTCTTGATTTAAAATCGTCTCTGCATGAAAGCTGTAAGCATATAAACGGCGAATAACCGCAAGCGGAATCCCCCGCTCAGGCAATGGGACTTCGTACGTCGCTGCCTTTAAATGAACAGTTCAGATAAATTGACAAGGACAGGATTATGGAATAAATACTCATAAAAAATATATTTCCTCTGGTTTATTTGTAATGTATTTGTTCCGCTTTGGTTCACATATTGTGTATTTATCCAGCTATTGATAAATCTAACTATAAACTAAATTAACATTAATTAAATACTGAACTTTAGTACAGTTTTGAGGTAATTTAGTCTACTAGCACTACCTATACCTATCCATTCTTTTGTTTGTTTTTCCTTCTTCATTTATGCCACTTAATACAGCTATACTTCACACTTATTTGGCTGTTGCTTACTTGAAAAAGTAAGTGTGAAATACTTTTACAAAGCTGGAGACAAATTTAAATTTTGGAAAACATTTTATGAATTAAAAATTACAAAAGGAAAACACTTTCACAAAGGACAAAACAAAGTTTAACGCAGTCTATTGGGCCGTATTTACCTTTATTTGATAGGACAGCTGAAGAGAGACAGGAAAAGGCTTACACACTTTCAGAAAAATTCTAAAAAAAAAATCAGGATATTTCCAGGAGGAGCTGCATGTGTGAACGCAAACAGCCAAATTTTTCATTCAGACTTCACCGGAGTTTCTCCTGCCACACACCATAGTATTTTTTTCCACAGCAAATCCAAGTCAGCTGATGTGAGAACGCAGCAGGATATTCTCTGGAGAATTCACCTCGAGCCAATGGGAGGGGGGAGTGACGTGTATACTGTGACTGCTGCACGGTGCATAAAGTGTATACACCGTACGATCTCCATGCAGGTAATTAAACGACTGCATTAAGTTTTCTGTTCGTCAGTATGTTGTTCTCACTCTTTATTTGACATTGTGATACAGGAATAGTCTGCATATGTGAAAACAGGTTAAGTGACCGCTTCTGGCATTTGGTACATTCCCTTTCCGTCAAGATTCTGGCATTTGTAAATTCCTCTCAGCGCTTGTAAAAGTGTGTGACACCTTTTAAATTTGTTTTCTGAAATGTAAATAATTTGTGTCCTTGGTAAAAGGTGTTTTGCTTTTGTAATTTTGTTTTATAAAATGTTTTCCAGAGAGTGAATTTGTCTTTTGGTTTGTACTTCCCAGCCACCGTACAATACAGATTCAGACAAACCATTCCACATCATTCACATTAATAGAATCAAGAGGAAATCACAAAGCAGTTGGGGTATTTTTGGACTACAAATAAGCATTTGACACAATAAATCATGAAATACTGATCAATAAACTAGAACGATGTGGCATCAGGGGGATCGTATCTTAGGCAACAATTTGTGAAGTTGGGGGAGTTTTAATCATCATGCTTGGACATTGCTTGTGGCATCCCCCAGGGGTCAGTGTTGGGTCCTAATCTGTTTATTTAATACATTAATGACATACTGTATGTAAAGTCTCTAATAAACTGAAGCTGGTCTTATTTGCAGATGATAACAATATTCTTTGTTCAGGTGAGAATCTACAATTATTAGAGGTTATTACTACAGAAATGGAAACAATTAAAAAAGAGCTTTGATAGAAATAAATTGTCATTAAATTTGAATCACATAAAATTATTTTATTTGGTAAATATAAAGCAAACACAAAAATACAGTGACAAATAGATGGTGTCAACATTGAAAGAGTTTATGTATACACATTTCTTGGGGTAACAATAGATCACAGAATCAGCTGAAAAGCTCAAATGAAACAAATACAAGCCAAACTGTCAAGAAGCATTTCAGTCCTAAATAAAGCAAAACATCTTCCGGATCACAAATTTCTATTGTTGGTGTAAAACTTTAAACAGTTTAAATGTGGAGCTGAAGCACAAACAAGTTTTAAAAAATGTACAAAATTTGCTGTGTGGTTATGATGGTGATTATAACGGTTGTTAATTTTTTTCTTATGTTAGTTTTTCTAAAAGGAATGAAGGTATATATGTAAATATGTTGACAGGTATGGTGAAGGGTAAATAGGTAATGGAGAAAAAACACTAACTTAAATGTATTACTACAAACTGTATATCATTAATTAAGGGAGAAGAACATGAATATAGAAGATAAAAGAAATCAATACATGTTCAAATATGTCAATGGTTGATAAATGATAGACAAACAATGATAGACTCTCTACTGCGATGGAGGTGTGTCCATCTTGGACAAGTATAAATTGATTACACCTGTGCATGGTTGAAAAATTGCCTGTTACACGCTGAAGAAGAGCGTCGGCTCGAAACGTTCGTTTGGCAATTAAATACACAAATTTGGAGTGCTGTCCTTATCTTTTTTTAATGGATGATAGATGAAATTATATTTTGCAGAAACACATTTGTATTTAATTTATATATTGTGTATGTTTATTGGTTTATATATATAAATGTGTATTGCAGATTCGTTATTTATTTATTCGTAAATGAAGATTAAATAAGGAAGCCTGTTCAACTGTTAACTACAGATTAACGGAGAGGGGGTGGGATTCTATAAATTCACACTTCTTCCCACTTCTTTACGAACATGAAATTCAAATGTTCTGTTGTCTTATTTACTTTTCTTTTTGTGGATCTGTTTTGTTTGTTTTTTTATCCTGAAACAAAGGGGGAAAAGAAAATACAAATTTGAAAAAAGACTTCAATCAATCAAAAGAATCCCAGCAGAGAAAATGAAAGAATGAGTACACAGATGACAGTAAGATAATAGAAAACAACAGTTGTTTTTAAGGCTGAGTTGACTTCATCATCTTATGTCACTAACAAATCTTATCATTTACATTTGTTTTATCCATAAGTATCCAAATCAAGCTGTCACAAAAAGAGCTACAGATCATTATACTCAACATGGTTTTCAAACAACCAGTCAGCCCAAAGTCCAGACACAAAGTTCAGACTTTTAGATCACTGATTTAGTCTCCTCATTCTCCTCCTCCTCCACCATCCTGCATGGAGTAATAAGCATTGTGTGATTATTCTTCATCAAAATAAACATTCAAATCAAAAGCAGCTCATTTTTTTAATATGATCAAAGTAAGTGTAAAAAAAAGAAACACGTTATTTATACTTTGTGTCGTTGATCAAAATGTTCATTAATAAAGCAACATGTCATTTTCTCTGAAGGAGAAGACGGTCCGGCTTTAAAATGTTGATTTACAAAATTTCATAATTAAAATATGAAACAAACATTCATTCATGAACAATAGAGACATGACAATAAAGATCCATTTACCTTAAGAACATTTAAATGATGTTCATAGCTTCATCTGAAAGAATACATACTGTATATGATGTAAATATATTTTACTCACTGCTCAGGTGGGAGGTCGGCCAAAAAACGTTCTTCTTCGATTTGAAGCTGTTCCCTCTGTCGCTGCAGACGTTGCCATCTTTGATCCCTGCAACAAGAGACACACTGATGATGTTTCTTTATTACAAATGAAATATGAAGAGCAAAGCAGACACTGAGCAACACATTAAACACTGTGTTGTTTCTTTATTCCACACAAAGGATCAAAGTAGAGAGGAGGTGTTGATGTTTCAGTCAAACATTTGACTTGAAAACTCAACATCACTTCAACATCTTTTAAACAGGAGCATGGCGTTTGCTTTACATCAACCATGGGGGTTGTTTCATCTTTAAGGTCTTTGCACACTGAGTCTGTTTTTTTAAAATGTGTTTTTCAGATCTGTAATCCGATCAAAACGTTACACAGGAACCTCGCACTCTGAGTCAGATGTGTTCAAACAGAAAAACAAACCTGTTGTGAAAAATGATAAAGACAGATGAAAGTTTTCAGAGTGCAAACATGATCGACTCAACATGAGATTGTATTTGTTTTTTCAACATGCAGCAAAACAGACTCAGTGTGTGTGTGTACAAACATGACTGTCAGGATTCATTGATGAATACACTTACTTGATTGGGTTGTTTTTTTCAGATTTTTTTTAATTAATCTTTTTTTCCTTTTGACTGATCACTGTGGAGGGATAGATCAGATGGACGTGATGATTGGGCGCCATCACTGTTGTTACGAGCTAGCACCGGCTACACATATACATACAGCAAAACTAGCCCTAACCTGAAGTGTGACAGAGAAGTCAAGAGATGACAGGTACGGAAAGGACTGATTCTCACATCAGGGTTAGGTCAGCTATACGCGGGTCTGCCGGGGCTCCGACGGCCTGATCGCACCGGACGGCTTTTAGAGCGACGAGCCCAAGCTTTGTGTTTGAGTTCAGTTTTGTTTGTTGTAGTTGGATCACATAAGATACGGCTGGTTACTAAAACAAGTTCATGGGAGTGGGTCATCTGTTCGGTCTGACAGCTTCCAAGTTGGCGTCCATACGGGTCCTCCGTCAGCTGCCCCTTCACCTGTCGTATGACGTCATTTAAAGCAACAGAGCACCGCTCTGAGCGCACCTCAGGAATGGTGCGTTCAAGACTATCTGACAAACCAGTAAACACAGCTTAAACCCATTCTCTATTCTCCCCATGAAAACCAGTCCAAAGTGATTAACAAAACAGACAGATAAGGATGAAGAAGAAGAACCTTACCGATTCCTAACATTCCTTCCCCCTTATAACAAAAACTTTTTCTTTTTTTTATGATCCAACCTTTTATTTTTTTTTATCATTTTTATATTAATGTTTTTTTTTTCCTTTTCTTAAAACTGAGACATTTGCATGATGTCTACTTTGGAGTTGAGATTGACTATTTATTTCTATCTAAAATTGTATCTATCTTAGTAGTCGCATCACTCAACTTCTTCAAGTCTGTACACTACTATTATAACAATGTCAACACCTAAACACTTCCAAAAATAAAAAACACACTCAGGCTCTCGACAGGGTGTCGGCTATCACATTTTCTTTACCCGGTAAATGCCGGACTGTCAGGTTATATGGCTGGAGAATCAGACTCCACCGGAAAACTCTCTGACTTGAGGTTTTGAACTTTGCAAGAAAAGTAAGTGGATTATGATCTGTCAGAAGCTCCAGATCCCCACCACTACTAGAGACATAAACCTCAAAGTGTTGAGAACAAGAGCTAGGGCCTCCTTCTCTATGGTGGAATAACGCTTTTGATGGCGATTCAGTTTCTTAGAGAAGTAGGCAACAGGCCTGTCTATTCCTGACCCATCAGTCTGCAACAGCACCGCCCCCACTCCTACATCACAAGCATCAACAGCCAACTTGAATGGGGCTGAAAAGTCAGGAGCGACCAGTACTGGCTCACTAGCGAGGATGGCTTTAACCATCTCCAGAGCTTTTTGATAATCTACTGACCAACTAAACTTGACCCCCTTTTTTAGCAGGTTAGTAAGTGGTGTCGTCACAGCAGCAAAGTTAGGAACAAAACGACGGTAAAAGCCAGACATACCTAAGAGGCGCATCAGCTGAAGTTTAGACTTCGGGGCAGGGAGATCTAAAATGGCTTGCACCTTGGCTGTCCTCGGTCTTACTGAACTTTGACCCACCTGATGGCCCAAATATGTGACCTGCCCCTTTCCTATTTCGCATTTTGGTAAGTTGATTACCAGTCCTGCCTCCTCAAGGCGCTCGAACAGCTGTCTCGTGTTCAATGTGATCAGCCCAGGAAGAACTAAAACAAACCACATCGTCTAAATATGTCACAGTGTTTTTCAGTCCAGAGGTTATTGAGTTCATTAACCTTTGGAACGTTGCTGGCGCAACCAGACAACGATACAAACACTCAGGCGTCACAAACGCAGATACTTCCTTTGCCCGATCTGTCAAGAGCACCTGCCAATATCCTTTCAATAAGTCAAATTTTGACACGTACTGAGCGCTGCAATCTTGTCAATACAGTCTTCCAGTCTCGGTATAGGATATGCATCAGTTTTAGTTACATATTTACCTTTCGGTAATCAATACAAGACGAACAGTCAAATCTGGCTTTGGAACAGGGACTAAAGAGAACTCCACTCACTTGAACCTGTTCAATCGCACCAATTTCTTCCATATACAGAAGCTCTGGTTTTACCTTAACCCATTTTGTGGATTAATCCGGTACGGATGTTGCTTAATGGAGTAGCTCCACCTGTATCCACATCATGGGTAATTAAATTGTCAAACCAGGGGTATCTTTAAACAGGGGTCTAAAGTGATCCACTAGCTGCAGTACATCTTCTCTCTGGTCTGTGGTGAGATGACTCAGGGACTTGCTGAGATTGGCCAGAGCACTGGAATTCTTAAGCCTAGCTGTGACCGGCTCCACTGACCCAACCTCATCTTCCTCACTCTCATCCTCCTCCACAGCCGTCTGAGACACCAGACACACAGCAGATGGAATGTCACGAGCATAATATGGCTTCAGAAGATTGACATGACACAGTCGAGACTTCAGTCTTCGATCTGGTGTCTCCACAACGTAGTTACACTCACTCACTTTCCTGATGACCTTATAAGGACCATAAAACTTTACCCCCAACTTCTCTCCACCCATGGGCAACAACACCAAGACTTGATCTCCAAGCTTAAAGGAACGGCTCATTGTCATACTGAGCCTTCATCTTTCCCTTAGCAGCCTGAAAATTACTCCTGGCCAAGTCACAAGCTGTATGCAACCGGTCCCGAAAAGATGCTACATACTCCAACACACCCCTGGGAGCATCTGTGGGCCCTGCAGATCGCAACAACTGTTCTTTGACCATCTTCAGAGGTCCTCTTACCTGATTTCCGTAGACTAGCTCAAAAGGACTAAAACCTGTAGACTCATTCACAGAGTCTCGGACAGCAAACAATAGAAAAGTCCCAGTCACCGAGTAACTCACACAATAGGTTTTAATCATGGACTTTATCGTCTGGTGGTATCTGGGTCAGTGACAAATAAGGGTTGTTCAGATGACCAATTCAAAAATCTTTTAAAAACACAATTTGAAAGCATGCATCAGGTTCATTAAAATGTGAGATTTGTATTCATGTTGGTTTTGTGTTTTTTAAAATGACATTTAAACCTTTTTTTTTCAAAAGGTAAGACTAAATGGACCTAAAAATGTCAAGTGGTGTAACCACTGAAAAATTAAGAATATTGAATATTTTATACATCTAGAGCAGGGGTGTCCAAAGTTTTTTTAATGAGGGCCAAATACAAAAAAATTAATTTGGGGCCGGGCCACACACTAGAGGTGACATATTAACACATGAATACTGTGTGTATTTCTAACTCACTTATAATCTGAAGAACATTGCACTCAGTGGGAGCAGTGATGCTGTCCTTTGGATTGAAGGATGGCTGACATGTCTGGAGTAAGTTTGGTGGTTGAGACACGAAGGACTTCACAGAGATGGCTATCAGTCATTCTGGTTCTCAGTCTGCTTTTGTTATGATTTAACAGAGAAAATGTTTGTTCACATATGTATGTTGAGCCGAACAGGCTCATCATTCTTTTTGCGTGGTCTCATCAGAGGAAACTTGGCATTATCCAAACTCTGATAGAAGTCAGGGAGGGAGAGAAGCTGATGTGACTCTTCAGAGAATCATCACATTGCATTTCAATCAGTTCTAACTGCAGACTCTCTTCCACTTCTTCTGCATCCACCAGAAAGGGGGTCGAGAACAGCTTGATTTCTTTTTCAATGACAGAAAAATCTTGAAACGCTGTTGAATTCTGTCAGGAGAGATGTAATCACAGACACATATTCTCCTTTTTAGCAGAAAGGTCGGCCTTTGAATAGCAGATTGATTTCAGACAGTGCAGGGAAGTGTGCAGCATTAAAGCTTCGTAGTTGTGTCTCAAACAGACGGAGCTTTACACAGAAGCTTTCATGTGCGCATACAGGTGAGCACCAGCTGTTCTTTGCCTTGTAGGTTCTTGTTCAGTGTATTCAGATGATGAGTAAGATCAACTAAAAAAGCCAGGTCTGACAGCCACAGAGGGTCACTCAGTTCATGAAGAGTCGGCCCTTTTCTTTCAAAAACTGGTCGATTTCTGATCTCAGCGAGTAAAACCGCTGCAGCACAGAGCCGCGCTGAGCCAGCGCACATCAGAGTGGTAGAGTACATCCCCGTATTCCGCATCCACGTCAGATAGGAAAGCTTGAAATTCTCTGTGTACAGTCCTCTAGTGCGAATTATGTTGACAGTTTTCACAACAGTGCATCACATCGCCCAGCTGGACAGTCTTGGCACACAGTGCTTCTTGGTGGATTATACAGTGCATCCTAACAGCCTCACCTCCGCTCTCTTTTACCTTGGCGCACACCATCGATGCCATTCCTTTGCGCTCGCCGGTCATGGCCGGAGCTCCATCCGTTGTTACTCCACAGAGCTTTTCCCATTTAAGCCCATCTTTTCAACGGCCTCCGACACAGCTTCAAAAATGTCTTTACCCGTCGTTGTGCCTTTTAGGCTCATCATATCAAGCAGCGCCTCCGTACAGGAAAAATTATCATCCACTACCCGCAAAAAAATTAACAGCTGCGCGATGTCTGTGGCATCTG